ATTTTTAGGGGGGTTTCGGATTGTGATTGCTTTTTCTGGGTTCCATTTGGTTTGATCGAGGAAGAAAAGGAGGGTGTGGTCGTCGCTACATCGACGATGCCAGTTGCGACGCCGGCGGCAGAAAGGAGCAAAGCTCCGGCGAGAGGCTTCAGGTGGGTTGTCTACCTTTGGTTTTGATTCGCTTTTTCTTTGTTTTTGGTCGGTTCTGACCTTTTATTTTTTGTTTCTGGTTTCTTTGGCGGAGGTTTCCGTTTTAGCCAAATTACATCCATACTCCACTTCCTATTCCATCCTCACTCTTTATTTATTTACAATTCAGTCCCATCTGTTACAAGTCTCCCTCCTTCACTGAAGACTTGTCCTCAAGTCTTGAACTCTGGATACTTGAGCTTGAATTCGTCCAGGAATTCCCAGGTGGCGTCTGCTGCATCCTGATGCGTCCAGTGGATAAGGACTTGTGTAGCAGCCTTGTTGTCCCGGGCCACCACTTTTCTGGCTAGAATCTCCATAGGCTCCACCTTCAAGCTTCCTTGATCATCATAATCTGGCAAGGCGGGTTGCACGTAGACCTGAGCTCCTGCAGCCTTCTTAAGCAGTGAAACGTGGAATACAGGGTGTATGGACGAACCCGGAGGCAGCTGTAAACGATAAGCTACAGCTCCGATCTTCTTAAGAATAAGAAAACGGCCATAGTACTTAGCAGCCAACTTTTGCGCAGTCCTCGTGGCCACTGTCACCTGTCTGTAAGGTCTCAGCGCAAATACACCAGATCTCCTTCTGCGAAAACTCGCTCAGTTCTATGTCGATCAGCCATCTGCTTCTGCCGGTTTTGTGCCATGGCGAGGTTCTCTCTGATGACTTTTATCAGGTTCTGCTGCTGCTGTAGCTTGTCTGCAACTGCTGCTACAGAAGTGGAAAGTGGATTTTGGACCTCAAATTGAGAAGGGGGATAGCCATATAGTACCTCAAACGGAGTCAGCTGCAGGCTACTATGGTAGTTGGTGTTGTACCACCATTCAGCAAGGGGAAGCCAGGTGCTCCAACGCTGTGGGGCGTGATGTACCATGCTTCTCAAGTAATCTTCCAGACATCGGTTAAGCCTCTCCGTTTGGGGGTGGTAGGCTGTCGAAAAATGGAGGTCCACCCCTTGTAACTCGAACAACTTGGTCCAGAAAGAGCTGGTAAACACAACATCCCGGTCCGACACTATGGTTTGAGGCATCCCATGCAACTTGAAGATTCCTTCGAAGAAGACCTGTGCAACACTACTGGCTGTATATGGTCTGTTCAAACTGAAGAAGTGTCCATACTTCGAAAACCGATCCACTACCACAAACACGACTTCTTTCCCTGCAGACTTGGGCAATCCATCAATAAAATCCATCGAAACATGCTGCCAAGCTCTCTCAGGAATTGGCAGTGGCTGCAGCAAGCCAGGATATGGTACATTCTCGGTCTTGCACCGTTGACACACATCACACACTCCCACGAATTCCTTGACCTGCAATTTAAGACCAGGCCACCAAAAATAACGTTTCAACCGCAAATAAGTTGCCTGTACCCCTGAATGACCTCCAATGGGAGAATCATGAAACAACTTCAACAGCTTCACTCGCATTTCTCCTACTGAGCCAACATACAATGCTTCCTTGTGATAGAGTAAACCCTGTTTAACTGAATTAACTCTAGGCCCAACAAAAGGAACAGTTGCTTCCACCATCAAAGTCTGAACCTCTGGATCACCTACATAAGTCAGCTCCAATTCACTCAACCATGCTGGCAACACAGCAGAGATAGCTTGACACTCAGCCTTGGCTTCCCCCACTGCTTGAAATTGAGGATGCCGAGACAAAGCATCAGCCACTCTGTTAAATCTGCCCTGCCTGTATTTAATCTCAAAATCCAAACCAAGCAATTTAACCAAACCCTTCTTCTGTATGTGAGTGTGAATTTTCTGGCCAAGCAAGTGCTTAAGACTCTCATGGTCGGTGAGGATAGTGAAAGTTCTACCTTCAAGGTAATGGCGCCATTTGGTCACAGCGAGCAGGACTGCTAGATACTCTTTCTCATATGCTGACAGCCCCTGCTGGCGGATTCCCAACGCTTGACTGTGGTAAGCAATGGGTCGACCCCCTTGAGACAAGACAACACCAATCCCTACATCACTAGCATCGGTTTCCAGCTGAAAGGGAAGAGAAAAATCAGGTAAGGTGAGCACAGGAGCTTGGGACATAGCCGTTTTCAGCAGGTTGAAAGCCTTATCAGCAGTAGCTGTCCAAAGAAAGCTATCTCTCTTAAGCAGATCAGTGAGGGGTCTGCTTATGGCACCATAATTCTGCACAAATTTTCTATAATAGCCAGTGAGGCCAAGGAATCCACGCAATTCCTTAACATTCTTAGGAACAGGCCATTTGACCATAGCCTCTACTTTACTCGGGTCAGTGGCCACTCCATGCTCATTGATGACATGACCCAAGTAATCCACCTCCCTTTGTGCAAAAGAACACTTGGATGGCTTGGCAAACAGGGAATGTTGGCGAAGGATTTGCAGGGTTTGGGAAAGATGTTGGCAATGGGAAGTTTGGTCAGGGCTGTAGACAAGGATGTCATCAAAGAAAACAAGGATGAATTTACGAAGGTAAGGGCCAAAAATTTTATTCATAAGGGCTTGGAATGTGGCTGGGGCATTAGTCAAGCCGAAGGGCATGACTTTGAACTCGAAATGGCCATGGTGAGTACGAAAGGCAGTCTTATACTGGTCATCTGGATGCATTCGAACTTGATGGTATCCAGAAAGAAGATCTAGCTTGGTAAAGTATTTGGCTCCACCTAACTCATCTAGCAGGTCATCTATCACAGGAATTGGAAATTTGTTCTTAATTGTGATGGAGTTGAGCTGACGATAATCAATACAAAAACGCCATGTGCCATCTTTATTATGGACTAAGAGGACAGGTGAAGCAAAAGGGCTTTGGCTGGGTTGAAGAAAATCAGCAGTCATCATGTCATCACATAATTTTTCTACTTCAACTTTCTGGGGAAGAGGGTATCGATAGGGTCTGAGGTTTACAGGGGAAGAGCCAGGCTGTAAGGGAATGGTATGGTCACAGTCACGGGAAGGGGGTAGGGAGGAAGGTTTGCCAAAAACATCCTTGTATTCATCAAGGATGGGTTGCACAAAGGAGGGTGGAGTAGTACCTGAAGGTGTAGAAGTAGTCATGGAGAAGATATGGCCTGTCCAGGATGCACCCTTCTTCTTGAAATACCGCTGCAGACTCTTTCCCGACATGGTTTGACACTTTCCAGCCTCCTGAACCCCATACAACTCAACCTCCACGCCATCCATGTCAAATACCAATTGCAAATTCACAAAGTCGAACTTTACTGGACTGATGGTTCGCAACCAATCCAGCCCCAGCACCAAATCATTGGATCCTAACTGCAAAATCCTGACATCGAACTGAAACTGAAACTCTTGCATTGTCCAAGTGAAATCCTTGCAGACAGAGTTGCTCATTAACACAGTGCCATCCGCCAATTTAACCCTCAAAGGAGCAGCCCCTTGCAATTTACAGCCTAGCTCTGCTGCTTTCTGAGCATTAAGGAAAGTGTGTGTGCTTCCAGTATCCACCAAAACAAGCAGAGTCGCTTTCTTCACCTTACCTTTGATTACCAAAGAATTGGCAGTAACGCCACTGCTGAGTGCTTGCATAGAGACCTCAATCAACCCTTCTTCTTGCTGAGCAATGTTTTCCACAGTATCTTCAAACACACTATCGTCCTCATCACTCCAGGGCTCAGGTTCCACAATGTCACCTTCTGCAGCCTGCAAAGCATTCAATTGCCGTTTGGCTTCACATACATGGCCATAGAAGTATCGATCGCCACACTTGTAACAAGCCCCCTTGGTCATTGTCCCCTTGGCACCATTACTGTTAACAGGGGCAATGGGTTTTGATGCTGAATTGGACTTGGCAGGCTCCCACTTCTTGCCATTAGGGCCTGAGGAGGAAGCACCCGGAGTGAAACCACCAGCTGGCCGAGGAAGGGGACCCCTGAGTTTCTTGCGGCGAGCCTCATTAGAAACTTCTTCCAATCGAGAGAGCTGGAAAGCATGAGCAAGGGATCTTGGCTACCACATGGAAATTACAGGACGCAACTCTTCCTCCAAGCCACTGATGTAGCTGGAAATGAAATACTCCTCAGTCAAGGCTGGATTATAGCGGATCATCTGCGATTTCAGTTCCTCAAAGCGTTCCTGATACTCAAGCAATGAACCGCGTTGACGAAGCTTGTTAAACTCGCCAACGATTCCGCCGAGGGACCAATCACTAAATCGATTGCACAGAGCAAACACAAACTCCTCCCATACCAACTCCACTCGGCCAGTCTTCCATCCATCGAACCAAATATCCGGACGACGCTCAAAGTAAATCGAAGCAAGCTCAACCTTCTGATCCGCGGGAATTGCATAGAGCGCAAAAAGTTTTTCACATTTGCGAGTCCATTCACGCGGATTATCCCCGTTGAAGGATGGAAAATCCAGGCGTGGTAAGGGAAACGGATTGTTACCGAAATGAGGCGGAGGAATTCGTTGGTGCAGATGTGGAATATGATCGGCGCCACGATTCCCTTGTGCTTGAGCTCGCTGCATCCCAACGTCTGGTTCCATTGGTCGACGCACCTGAGGAAGGACAGGCTGAGGTAAAATGCCGCGGTCGTCGTTCCGAGCCACCAGCGGAGCTTCCGCCTCAGCAACGACGACCGGTGGCCGTTGTTGACCTAATTCCGCGAGACGGCGAAGGACTTCGTCGAAGCGGCCATCCAATCCGTCAATCCGAGTATTAAGAGTGGCCATCTGCAACGAGTGACCGTCGGCCTTCGTGGACAAGTCATGGAGCTGGCCGGCATGAGCGCGAAACTGCTCTCCCGTCGTCGTCATCTGCTCATCCATGGCGTGCAGACGATCTCCGATCTGCTGAATCTGATTCTCGACGGCAATGGTGCGGTTGGTGAATGTTGCGAGCTTCTCGTCCATTCGCGTCGTCGCCATCCGGTCGAGCGAAGGCTCTGATACCAAGTTGTCACGGCTGGGGTGGAGAGTGGCGAGAACTCAACGGGATAGCAATGGCGACCTTCGTTCCAGTGGAAATGTGGAGACGTTGGACTGGAGGGAAAGTTTGTTACGCAACGATTGGTAAAGTAAGAGAGAGAGGAAGAAGAGAGAGATAGGAAGAAAGGGGAAAAGAAGATTGTATTGTCTCTAACGTCTACTGAGCTTGTGGGCCCAGTTTCCCTCTTATACGATCCGTTTTAGCCAAATTACATCCATACTCCACTTCCTATTCCATCCTCACTCTTTATTTATTTACAATTCAGTCCCATCTGTTACATTCTGACCTTTTATTTTTTGTTTCTGGTTTCTTTGGCGGAGGTTGACGAGGGAAGGAGTGGCTAGGGAGAAGAAGAGTCACCGCCGGCAAGCTCTGGTGACAGTGCCAGCGGTTGACTCGTCAGATGAGAATCAAATTTTAGTCTTGGTTTGAGTTGAGGGGTTTTAGTAGATTCGGACCTGTTTTGTTTTTTGTTGTTGTTGTTGTTTTGGGATTCAGTAATGAAGTTGGTGGTTATCTTAGGCGTATTTGGGACTTTTGGGTTTGATTGGGTGATGGTTTTGAAACTGAATTGTTTATATGGGTTCTTTGAGTTTTGTGATGGGTGAAACCTGGGTTTTGGGGCTTGGATCGAATGTGGGATTTGATTTCGGTTTATGATTTTGAGATTGTATTTTAGTTGGAGTGGTTTTAAAACTGGTTTAAAGATCTGGGTTTTGAAAATATGTGACTGTGCAAATGCATTTGATGATTTTGAGTTAGGATAACCGCTGGTTTTGTACTGGAAATTGATGGGGTTTGTTGTGAGGTTGATAAATTCCTGGATTGTCAAGTTCATGGTTGAAAACTCGAATCTGATTATTTATTTAGGTAGTAGGTTTCATCCTCATTACGTTTTACTATCTATGTGTCAATAGGACAGAAATTAGGCATTTATAGTATATAGCTTTATGGAATGATAATTAGAAACATAAGGAGTAAATAGCAGTAATGAGTAAATCGCAATAGATTGTATGACTAGTAGTTGATAAAGTAAATGAGACTTAATAAGTTACCCTTATTAAAATAAAACTTATATAATGATTGTTGAATATGATGATGATGGTGAATGATTGAGATGATGGTGGTTGGTTTAGTCGGCTACCAATCTTACACTTGTAGTTTGATGGTGATTCTGCCTCCCTTTTCTCAACTTCTGTGGATGCTTAACTGCTGTCTTTTTTACTTGCTGCTGCTGTCTCGTTTTCCATATTGATTTTTTTTGTGTTGTTATGCAAGTTGATGAAGCAGAAGTAGAAACTGAGGGGTTTTTTTTGGACTCTCCTTTTCCTCTCTCTTTGTGAATCTATGTGGCTAAGAAAAGAGTGGAATGAGAATTTTAGAGTTGTCTGTCTTTTATGCTGGGATTGTTTGTGTGTTTTCTCAATCAAGAAGAAAAAGAGAAGATGAGAGCTTTGTGTTCTGTGTTTGTTTATAGAGTGTGGATCAGAAGCAAGGAAGTAGTGGGGAGGAATTTCTCTCTTATCTGTCTGTTTTGTTTGGGAAGGGGAATGGAAAGGAAGAGAAGAAAAAGAAGCCTGTTCTTTGTTCTTTTTTCATAAATTCTTTTTCGGTGAAGAAAAAGAAGAAGTTTTCGGCAGGAAGTTCGGGAGAGAAGAAGAGAAGCTGTCTGGAAGAAAGCGAAGAAGAGGATGAAGAAAAGAAAGCACCCTTCTCTTCTTCTACAGCCCGTGAGGAGGAAGGAGAAGAAGCCTGATGTTGGGTTCTTTCTTTTTTCTTTTCTATAAGAAGAGGGAATTCTGCCGTGGGGAAAGAGGAGGAGAGATCCAAATCCCAGAAAGCAGTCCCCTTTTCTTTTTTTGTTTTCGGAAGTGGGGGCATGGGGAAGAAGAAGAAAGAGCTTTCGTAGGGAAGAGGAAGAAGGAAGAATTTTTTGTTGTTGTTCTTCTTGTTGTTTTTCCCTCTTTTTTTGTTTGGAATTTTGAGGAAGGAGGATCAGCAGAAAGAAGGAAGTGACAAAGAAGAAAAGGTTCAGGGAATGTTTTTTTGTTCTCCCCCTTTTTCCAAGAGCTGAAGGGCTCTTTTTATAGTAAAAAACTGCAGAGGTGGCACCATGTAATTGGCTTTGAGGGTATGTAGGAGCCGCCCTCTAGTGGTAAGTAGGTTGTAGATTGGGTTGGATCGAACCGGCTTGGTTCAGATGGTATGGGTCGAGTTGATTCAGGCTGGGTTATACCGGTTTGATTGAATTAGAACAATTGATTTTGGGTATGACTTTCAGAGTTGACTTTATTTTATCGTTGAATCTTATTTGTATATAATTATCATTGACTTGGGCTTAACAATGTTGTATTTGTAGTTTTGTAATTTTATTTAGTAATGTGTTTGTAAATTGTAATTTATTTTAATAAGACCATTACTTATTTCCTTATCTTTAATTGTTCTCGAAGTTAAGTCCAAAATCCACTAATCAATTTTTATTTTTTAGCAAATAGAGTTAGCTATCGCTAAATTTGTTTAATCGCCCAAATTTTAACAACTCAACCCATGTCCAAAACAAACTCTGATGTCTCGGCATCCTTAGTTTTACTAAATGTTAATCATATATAGAGATGTTTACGAGTGACTATTGTCAATTTAAAACAAACCGAATACTCAACTACTCTTAATCAGTAGTTCGAATTAGTAAATTGCCCGGACAAAATTTGTTAACTAGAATTTAATATTTAGCTAGTTGTTAGCAATTTATTAATAGGTTTGACTAATAAAAAAATGCGAGAAAGCTTTGGCTAATAAATAGTATTTACCCAAATTTTTATGTCTTGCATTTTGATACCTTAACTTCTTAAAGTTTATAGGTTGGTCCAAGTTTATGAGATTTCTAGTATGTTTTGAGAAACTTTTTTTTTTTTACAATAATACTTTGATAAACTTGTTGTCTGCTTTATGAGATTTCTAGTCTGTTTAGAAAAAAGGCAAAACTCGTGGTATCCTTTAATAAACTTTTTTTATGATTAATAAGGTTTCTTGTCTGTTATAAGAAACTTGTGGCCTGTTTTAAGAAATGTCTGGTCTGTTTTAATAAACTTGTGATCTATTTTTTGAGGTTTCTGATATACTTTTGGGAACTTGTGTAAAAAAACTTGTGGTTTGTTATAACAAACTCGTTGTCTGCTTTAAGAAACTTGTGATATGCTTTAGTTAACTTGTGCTCTTCTTTATGAGGTTTCTAATTAATCTGCTTCAGGGAACTTGTGATCTGCTTTAATAAAATTGTGGCCTGTTTTAAAGATCATTTGTTTGGTTTGCTTCAGGGAACATGTTGTATGCTTTGATATTTCTATTATGCTTTATGAATTTTATGGTGTGATGAGGTTCGAGTATGCTTTATAAGTTATAACCTTTTTTTGGTATGATTTGCTGTGTTTCTAGTCTGTGTTTTGTAGTCTCCTTCATGATACTTGTGGTGAGGCGTGGGATGCAAAATTAATGCACATCGCCACACCCGTGTGGCTTCCCAATTTTAACAACAAGCGTGTCCTTCATTTTATAAATTTGCATGAATTGTGCTGATCAACCCCTCGAAATACAAAATTATCAAAACAAAATGTTCCTATTGTGTAGGAATAGTATTAACACAGTGATAACAAATTAGGTTTTAACACGGAAAGCTCTGCCACGTATGACTTACAAAAGGAAATTACACTGGACATTAATAATGATTCAATATGTACATTCTTGAATGGGGAAATGCATGGCCATTCTTTTCAGTTCTTATCTTAGAAAATAAAATAACATATATACGAAAGCAAAACTCCACTATATAAAACAGCCGTTGCAGGGTTCTCTATTACATACAAAACCAAACTATTTCCGGCCCAACCTAGTAATAGGGCATATGATGAGTTGTATTAACGTATACGACAATTGAATTCTGGCAAAACCTAGTCATAACATTCACCAACAAAATTGTCTTCTACGAAAGATCCAACAAAATTGAAACCAATGAACCCACATTTGGCAAGTCCCAGTATTTGCGTAATTATATATTTATGGACTTTGTTCTTGTAGTGCTTTGCCGGCTTCCCGGCCGACCATAATAATTTTCATCATGTTCAGCTATGTTTATATCTGCGTGAAGCATATTATAAATGTAAACGCCCCTTTTTCGCACCATGAACTCAACGATTCACCCCTTTTTCTGCACTATGAAGACTCCAATATTCATCGTCCATACCGCACTATTACTCATCTTTAGCGACGGCGGCAGCCACGTCGTCGTTAAAGGCGCTCCCAACACAACCATGGTCGCCCAATGCTGTAGCCCGATAGGTGACGAGTTAACCTACGGCCTTAGAGATCCGGTTCTGAGAACCTCTAATGCTGCCATTGCTGCCGCGATCCCCGGAGGATCTCCCAGGTGTGAAGGTGAGCGCTATTTCAGTTTCTTCGTCTTCACCTCTGCTCACTGCGCCGAGTTCATCTCCCTTGACGACTGCAGAAACTGTCTCTATAATGCTCAGTTTCGCCTGGTGGATGATGAGTGCCCACGGGTAGTGGCAGGAGACCTCCAACTTTGTGACTGTGGCCTCAAGTATTCGACAACTCAATTTTGCTCGACAGATGGACCGGTTTATTGAAGTCGATCATAACAATTGACGCAAAAACCGGCGCCCTTGATCGGTTCTTGTGTATTAATCTTGTTATGATTGTCAAATTTAGTCTATTCGTTGAGACTTGAGAATGAAGGATATGTACTTATTGGGTTAGAAGTGCTTTTTAATATGAGAGGTTGTGTAAAATGACTAGGGCTGGCAATTTGGTACAGGTCTGTTTGGTTTTACCCGAAACCGGACCCTATAATCCGTACCGGGACCGAACTGGGACCGGATAGCAAACAATCCAATCTCATATTCGGGCTTAGATTTGGGATAAAAAACCCATATAAAGACCGGATAAGAGACCCCAACACTCAAATCACCACAAACTCAATCTAAAATCAAAATCAAATTGGGACCGGACCGCATCAAGACCGGAGTGTATCCAATCCAATCTTTGGTCCTTATATTCCTGAAAAGACCGGACTGGGACCGGATCAATTTGGTCCAATTTAACCGGACCGGACCGTATAGCCACCCCTAAAAATGACTATAAAGGACTTATAATATAAAATATGAATAAAAATTCTACACGATAAAAAGTAATAAAAAAGGATCTGTTTAGATTTCTTTTATATTAAATAATATGATTTTATAATTTATTTTATTTTTAAAATTATATAAATGAAGGAAAATTATATTTTCTGAAATAAAATTAAAATATGGTAAAGATAATCTTGTATTTTCAAAACAGCTTTTCGCAGAAGCTCCAAATCTAAGCTTCTGCTTTTTTGTTATACAAAAGCGTTTTTCGACTTTTCAAAAGCCGAGCTT